CCGAATAAAAATCTATGGCGCCAGGCCAGAGACCAATGTTATTTTTGAAACCAGAAAAATCTACTTTCTCTTGATTTTGACAAATTTTTAAAGGTTCTTCCTGCTGTTTTTTTCAGGATCTTCCGGAAGTTCTTGTTTAGGTGTCAATGTAAAATAGTTGATCAATTTGAGTATTTCTGCTATATTTTCTTCACTTTTCACGTTCTGCTTGCGATTTCCACTTTTGGGCACCACTAGCGAAAACTCGAGGAGTTTTATGATGATCTCTCATGATACCACTGTCAAAGAAATGTTAAGAAAATAAGAATACATTAAGAAAATAAGTCGTGGAGTTGTTAACTGGGCAAAATTAATAAATTAGTAGAAACAAAAGGGTTACGATCAATGCAGTGATCAGTGCAATAGAAAACGAAAGGAATGGGGAAGTTTCGAGCTATATATATTGCCAATTAACCTTTCTAGTTATGACCATAAACAAAAAATACGAAACATAAATACAAAAATGAATTGATAACGAATTTTTTTTTAAATTTGAATGGATAAACGTTAATTTGCTTATAAAAGTTTGGTGTTTATTGATAATATTGCAATTTCATGAAATAAATCAATGCAAATAACCTCTTTTTATGTTTTTGTTCTTTAAACTTGCATATCGATCCTTTAAATAAATAAGAAAAACAAGTTCGTAATTTTACAATTGCACAATGAAATAATATGACATCACATGCATATTATAGATCACAAGATAAATATGAAAATACTTACGTGTGTTTGTTGATATCAATTCAGATGCATTTAAATTTGTTGGAAAATTTCCATAAAGCTTTAAATAAAATTTCGGGGATTCATCGCTACGAGCAACGCTATAAGCGGACACTTCTTAACAACGACAGTGCTGCCAATGGTAAGATTTATACCATCTTTTCGGCTTTGATACGATATACGGTCGCACTTTCGAAATCTGTAATTGTAACTTTGCATTTATTATGTTCAATTGTTCATGTTTTGATGTTATTCTGTGTTACTAAATAAATATAAAAATAAATAAAATAAGAAATCATACGCAAAACATATGAAATACTTACAACAGTGGTAGAGCCACGCGGCAGCTTTTGCTGTCGCACGGATGGGCCGGCTCGAACCGGGGTGGTACCACGACCTCACAGAAAACCAGCGTGAAGTAGAGGTTTACCTCTGCGTTTCGCTTGGTGAGTGCAGGTGGCCGGATGCCCTCTTAATGGAAATGAGGCATTCCATCTTAGTCCTCACGGGTGACAACGCATCTACATTTTGATTTGTAATAGAGGATAGATGTAGATGTCTATGGGCCGCAGCAACCACTTACCATCAGGTGGACTGTGTGCTCGTTTGTCACCCTTATCCTATAAAAAAAATAAAAAAAAGCAAAATGAATAAAATTCAATTTAAATTTATTTTTCGATATAAAAACCAATAACTACATTTGGTTCTAGATGCCATATAATGTAAGCTATTAAAAACTCAGTTATCAAATAAAATTAAAAAAAAACTTTTTTGATAAATAAATACGTATACATTATGTAAAAATTGTAATAATTCCAAAATAATAAATATGCTGCATATTATAGACGAAATTTCAATTAAAATTTAAAATAGTATCTATATAAATTGACTAGCCTGTAGTTCTCCATAAACTTCGTTGTATTTTTCGTGACCGCATACAATAAAACTTTTGAACTATGTCTTGAATGTTTCTTTACTTTCACTTCTAATTTTCAAATTTCACCATGTAGGTATATCGCTTATATAATTCCAAGAATGCATCGACGAGCAACATAGAATTAAAAAAAAACTGAGGAAAACATTTTAACATTCAGTTCTTTCTTGTTTTGAATAATTTCAACTATCTATTTAAAAATAAGTGTGAAAGATTTTAGAATAATCAAAAACAAAAAAGGAGAAAACGATATTAAAAAAATACCAAAAAGCTACAATAACATGAAAATGGAGACGGAAACATTTTTAACCGTCTCTTCTATCATTTGAGGTATCGGGTAGGTCTTTCAAAAACACTGAGGATGTGGAACAACAACTTTTCGATTCAGGTGCCCATTTGCGAAATATTTAATAATATAATAAATATTTATTTGATATAGACAACACTGATCCATTACAATTTTTTTTATTGGCCTAAAGGTCTAGATGCCAGGCCATAAACTCCAAAAAAAAATTTTTTTTTACATTATACCTTAAATTTTAATTCTTATTATTGGTTAATTAATGAAATTATTAAATATTATTTAGATATCAATAAATTTAACCACCCACTAAAAATTTTACTAAATGCACATATATTACAAATTATTTTGATGAGATTATTCTGCGACTCAAAAACAGAACTTCTAAATCGCGCCATACGGTGACGGATCAGCGCATCCAAACCAACGATACGAGCCTCTGCGAACATCTGATGGAACAACACGCGGAACAAATCATTATACTGCACTTTCAGCCTGCGATATTCCTCTTTAGTGTAATTCGTCCACAGCTGAGGTGTGTAAAGTGGCTGACAGTAAGCTGAAAACAATGCCAGTTTGGAGGCATAAGAACACCTTTGAACGCGTCGCACTATCATGTTGGCACGCACTGATAAGGAACGTCGTTCGCGGTCCATATCGGAACCATCACACAGTTACCCACTCTAATTGCAAATTACACTAATACACTGGGGGGATATGAGGTTGAACCCTACCATTCTTAAAAAGCAAACAAACAGACTTAATGGTGTTGTACAATAGGTTATGATCCATCGCATATTTCTCACAAATCTGGAGTAGTGCACGCAGTACATCAATCGAGGGACTCAGCAGCACCATATATAATATCATCAGCATAACTCAAGTTACTAAAGCATTCAGAACCAATGTGGCAACCCAGTCTGGTGCTTCCAAGCTCCTCGATCAGCTGATCAACATACAGATTAAAAAGCACAGGTGATGTTAGCCCTTTCTGCCTCACGCCGCATTGTAGGAGAAATTCCTCAGAGTATGTATCACGCCACTTTACTACATTAATTTGCCTACTAAACCATGCGATCAATATGTTAATACATAATGACGGCACTCCCGCATCACGTAACTTCCTCCAAAGTATATCATAAATGACTCTGTCAAAAGCCCTACTTAGGTCCAAGAAACATGCATAAATATTTGTTTTCCGCTTATTATAATAACTAACGATTTGCTTTAAAGTAATGATCGCCGCATCCGTAGAACAATATTTTTTTAAATCCAAATTAAGCATCGCTAATATGTACATATTTAAAAGTAACGCCTAATAATGTGTCAATACAGTTTGGCACAAGTTGTAGCTATGGATATCGGTCTATAATTACAACTGTCGGTCAAACTACTCGATTTACATTTAAGAACACGACTTATTACCGGTTTTTAGCATTACTACCGGTAAGTAAGCATGCTTTAGACAGGCACTGAAAAATACTGATAGGAACGCAATTACCCACGGTCCTCCAAAGCAAAGATGTTCTCCGCTTATATTGTCATATACTGTCGCCTTTCCTCGTTACATCTGGCGCAGATCATTAAAGATCATCTCTTCAGATACATGTCCTTCCCATCTGCTACATGATCTTGATTATGAGAAGTACATTGTCCTGAACTTAACGCAAGAAATTTGTCGCTGAGCAAGTTTGCAGTCGCCAGTGTGTCCGTCAGGCCATCCACACACTCCGATTTTTTTTATAGAATAAGGGGACAAACCAACACACAGTCCACCTGATGGTAAGTGGTTACTGTGGCCCATAGACATCTACATCTATCTTCGTTTGCGAATTAAAATGCAGATGCGTTGTCAGCCGTGGGGACTAAGATAGAATGCCTGTTTTCCAACAAAATGGGTCTCCGGTTCTCTACACTCACCATACGAAACACAGCAGCATTAAGCTGCTATTTTACGCTGGTATTCTGTAAAAGCGTGGTCCTTCCCCAGTCGAGCTGACCCATTCGTGCTACAACTATACTATTAATAGAGCTATAGGAAGGCTCTACCACGATTTAGCTTTAAGGTAGTATTTTACATTAGATTCATGTGTTATCCTCCCACTTCTACCTAAAAAACCGCTGTTTTTAGAAATGTGTAAAGTATACATGATAGTAGTATATATAATGAAGTTAAAAGGAAAACTATCAGAGCTAAATAGAATTAAGAAGTTTACGAGTAATAGTCGATCACCTTATAAAATGCACTTGAATTAGTAAAAATTTAAAACTAAGTACATTGTGTACAGCATTAAAGAATGTGTATATAGTTAACTTGTCATATAAGAGTGTGTAAGTCGCCTTTATGTGAATTCTATCACCTAAAGGTATTACTGAAAATGAAATCACCTATAAGACTGCTTGTAAAGGAATAAATCGACTTGATGTAAGCCATATTTTACCTTTACCTATTGCTGACTGTAATAATGAAATAAGAAAGAATATCCATTTATTATGGAAAGATACATAACGAAATACCTGTAAAGCCTTGGTACTCTAAGTTGAAAAAAGCAAGTCGTGATTATATTACCACTATAAATCGACTGCACACCTTGCTCGATTTAATATATTGTCCTCGGACTTGGGCCTAAATTGTGATCAAGTTAAAATTAATCATCACCTGTTGTTTGAGTGCAGTCAATTTAACTTTCAACGGCTTTTATTAGCTGTTTAGTGTGACAGTGACAGACAGATAAAATGAACCCATCGCAAATAATGATTCCCGCCGGTTGTCTGTATTTTTGAATAATATGAAATGCTTTCTGTCTATTTACAAATACATTAAATCCACAATAGAAAATGTATAAAAACAAAGATCCCAAAAGAAATGACGACATGGCTTAAAGAACAAGCATCCAAGCCAAAATTCTTAATTAAAAAAAGTCTCTTTTGACTGCTTTTGACTCTATGGCTTTTGACTTATATAACTTTTTTTATTGCTATCTGTCACAACTCACAACTGTCACATTTACATTTCTCAAATAGTTTTTCTTATGTTTTTGCAAACAATGCCTGTGAATATAATTCAGTAAAATGTCACAAACGACGCTTGTTAAAACTATGGATATTTTATTTACAAATAAAATGCTAAATCCATCAAGGTTTTTACGTTATGTTTATAGAAATGACTGTCGATATCAAACCACAGGACAAGTCAAACAAGGATCTAAAATAAAAACTGCTAGTTCTGTATACAGAAGCATGAATATCTTTGATAGAAAAGCGAAAATACTGCAGAAAGAACGGGCTGCCCAATGTGAGGATTATGAATTGGCTGAATATATAAAGGAAGAGGTTGGTTGGAGAACAGCTGATCGAGTTTTCGATATAAAAAGAACGTTCAAAAATGCAGTAGAATTAGGTAATTCGTATAAAAGTAAAATATATTCGATTTTATTTTCATTTTGCTACTTCATTATTCTGGATTGATTATTTTTCATTCATGAAGCACTAAAATGTAATAACCATAGCATTTTTTTAATTACGTAAACTTTACAGTATATTTTATACATAATTGTCTTGGTATCTGACACCATCTATGAAGAGCCATCGGTACGACTTTCCATTGACGTCCGTCGAGTTGGGGGTTGATACGTATTTTTGCATTTATAATGTAAATATAAATCCATCGATCTTTTTCTGAAAGAATCGACATCCCTACTGACAATAACAATAAAAAATGGCGCCAGTTTTACAGTAAGATTAGACAAACATTGCAAGAATAATTGATTATCAATAATTTTTTTTCTCAAAAATTACACGTTTCCGCATGTTGTAACTTTGTGTGTGTGCTTATAATAGTGTAACTTTTCTGTAAAAATAAGTATCAACACCCAACTCGACAGACATCAATGGAAAGCTAAGCCGAGCCATCATCACAGTGTAAATATCGAAATATACACTTCACTTAATTAAACCTTAAAATGAAATCTTAGGGAGCATTTTCCGTTATCAGCACTCTTGAATTTCATTAATTCATTGTGATCAAACAGCATCTGGACTGAAAGTTATTCTTTATCTTATTGTTATTTAGAGTTATTATAGTAGTTTTATTACTTAAGTGTTATTATTTCATGGCTTTCAGTGAGTCACAAAGAGCAGAGAAGTTAGTACTTAAAGAGTGTTTGTATTACCTGTATGTTATATAGGAACTATTCAATAGAAGTAACTATATAATATATACATCATTGTTACAGCCCTTCACAATTATCAAACATTATTATTATAGGGGCTGGTCGAGGATATGTGTCTCGTCATTTTCTTCCGGACAGTGTTGAAAAAATAACCCTCTGTGACACGTCACAAACACATCTGAATAAAGCTATAGTTGGCGATGGAGTCAAATTTGACAAGGTTGTTATGGATGAAGAGAATTTCGAAGTAGGTATGGATTTTATTTTAAAATGTTTATTTATTTATTTCATAACCAATGTTAGACTAGAAAATACATAATTATATAATTTGCCTGCTTGTTAATTAATTTTATCAATGAACTAAAACAATAAAGTAAAATTTATTTAAATGTATAGACACTGATACTTTCAAATATTTTTTTATTAATGTGATAATATAATGGTTGTGCAAGCAAACCACATTTCAGCCTATGCATCAACAATTTTATAAAGTTGACCATGTACATGGCTACTAATGTAAGTATGTTATAAACAGTAGAGCTGGCGACACATTTTGAGCATGGATTTGACCCATCTTGTTATATAGCTCAAAAGTGTTGTTTATGAAAGTTATATCGGCTAGTCTGCCTGGCATGTACAGGTGGGACAGGTACTGCACAAGGTAAAAGTAAGGTAAAATATGTGTGCTAAAAATATAATTGACCCAGCATGTAATAACCAGTGATTGGTGTAGCTAGTTACATTATGAGTCAATAAACTTGAATGATAATATAAATATGAACATGTTCCGGGGTTCCTGGGAATTTTTTTCTGAATGTCGATGAATTAAATGAAGTTAAACTGTTTAAAATATCATGAGTACACACAATAACATATCAAACTATTCATTTCCGGTATTGGCTGCTTTTTGCCATCATCTTCATTCATCTTCATTACAGCCCTTCACAAGTCCACTGCAGAACATAGGCCTCCCCCAAAGAATGCCACAAAGCACGGTCCTGAGCCACCTGCATCCATCGACTTCCTGCATATCTTACCAGGTCGTCACTCCATCTAGTGGGGGGACGCCCTACACTTCTCCTGCCGGTACGAGGCTGCCACTCGAGAACCTTTCTTCCCCATCGGTTGTCGGTTCTTCGAGCTATATGGCCGGCCCATTGCCACTTCAGCTTACTAATCCGTTGGGCTATGTCGGTCACTCTAGTTCTACTGCGGATATTCTCATTTCTGAGTTTATCACGCAGAGAAACTCCGAGCATAGCCCTCTCCATAGCTCGCTGAGCGACCTTGAGCTTCCTCATCCGGCCAGCAGTGAAGGACCACGTCTCAGTTCCGTATGTCATCACTGGCAACACGCACTGGGTGTACAGTCTCGTTTTCAAGTTTTGAGGTATACCTGACGAGAAGATGTGCCGTAATTTCCCGAACGCTGCCCAACCGAGTTGAATCCGTCGATTGACCTCTCGGTCGAAGTTGGACTTACCTAGTCGGACTATTTGTCCCAGGTAAACATACTCGTCAACAACTTCGAGCTTAGTGTTCCCAACAACTACCGGCATAGGTGTGACATGGACATTAAACATGATCTTTGTTTTGTCCATGTTCATCTTAAGACCTATCCGTTGGGAAACACTATTGAGGTCATTGAGCATAGTGCTTAGGTCCTCCAGCGATTCTGCCATAAGGACTATATCGTCGGCAAATCGAAGGTGAGTGATGTACTCGCCATTGATGTTGATACCGTATCCTTTCCAGTCCAGAAGCTTGAAAACATCTTCCAATGCAGCGGTAAAGAGTTTCGGGGATATGACGTCACCCTGTCTTACACCTCTCTGCAATTGGATAGGTTTCGTACTCTGGTTCTGTACTCGGATAGCCATCGTAGCCCTACTGTACAAGCACTTCAACACTTCGATATACCGACAGTCTACTTGGCATCGCTGAAGGGACTGCAGCACCGCCCAAATTTCGACGGAATCAAAGGCTTTCTCATAGTCCACATACGCCAGACATAGTGGCAAATTGTACTCCTCGGACTTCTGTACAATTTTCCGAAGGGTATGTATGTGGTCTATGGTGCTAAAGCCTTTTCGGAAACCGGCTTGTTCGGGAGGCTGGAAGTCGTCAAGTCTGCGCGCGAGACGATTCGTAATGACTCTCGAAAACAGCACGTAGACGCGGCTCAGAAGGGAAATCGGTCTGTAGTTCTTCAAGAAAGTGTTGTCGCCTTTCTTGAAGAACAAGACCACCGCACTTCTGCTCCACGCCTCCGGTGTAATGCCACCATTGAGGACGGAATTAAAGAGCTTCTGAAGGACTTCAAGTACCGGTTTTCCACCCGCTTTCAGAAGCTCCGCTGTAATTCCATCCTCGCCTGGGGCCTTGCCGTTTTTAAGGTGCTGGAGAGCCATTCTAATCTCGCTCAGACTGACGTCCGGGATATCATCGGAATAATGTCGGATAAGACTCGCTCTTGGATCGTTACTCACACTTGCGTGCGGCTCCAACGATGACGTGTACAGCTGCCCATAGAAACTCTCAATCTCACTCAAAATCTCAGGTGCCCCGGAAACGATGCTGCCACATTCTGTCTTCAGCTTTGACAGTTGGCGCTTTCTGGCAGACACAGCTTTTTGCCATATTATTGGTCAATAGACAGGATCTTATTATGATGGAAATGGGTAGCTTGATATGTCCTAATGTGTACAATGACTTTTCAATGCTCGTCAATGTGAATATATGTATAATATATTACTACTACTACTATATAAAGTTACAGTAAAGTATATGAAAAAAATAGATGTTTAATAATAAAATTTAATTTCAGTTATGTGAAGTTATATTCACCTTAGCAAAGTAGCCAGTGTCAAATGGCAATATTCACAAGAGTTTTGTTTTGATTTTTAGTTTCCAGATAATAGCATTGACTTACTAGTGTCATCTTTGGCTCTGCATTGGGTAAATGACTTACCTGGGTGTTTCGATAGAGTCATGAGATGTCTACAGCCAGATGGTGTGAGTATGATCCATAAAACTAAAAGTAGGTAATTATATTCTTCAGGCTGAATTTCAGTCACAGCGGTCAGTAGAAACGGCAACTAGCCATCTGCACAGGACATGATTATAGTGCACAAGTGTGTGCTCCAATGCAGGTACACACTCTATTCCCTCCCTATTCCTATTTCTAATGGACAGGCAATCACACACGAAGGAAGAGAAATCAGGCGCAGGACCAACGACTTCACTGCTTTTTGAGGAACAGGGGTGAAACACCACCAATTGTCCACAGAAAAACCCAATAACTGATTATGGCTCGACCTGCGATTTGAACCTGGGACCATATGATCAGCAGTCGCGCTTACAACTACTATACCAACAAAGCCTTCAACAGTTTTTTAATAATATTAAGATCACAAAGAAACAAGTTACTACAATCCACAGACACTGTAACCAACATTAAACAAAAAAAAAATGTCACAAAAGCCTTGTTTCAATATCATCTGATAAAATGATCAGTATACTTGCTTTCTTATCCTTCATTCAACAGATTTAGTGTCAGAGAATCCATGTTTCTTTTAAAATGGCATGATCTATAGAGACTGGACTTTATTGTGAGTTTTGGGTTCGAACCCCAGTAGTTGTCAAAATTTATGGGGTAATACAAGAAATTTTTGCTTTTGTATCAAATTGGTTTGAGATAATTCTCTATGTCTGGATACTACACCCTACCTCTGATGTCTAACTCTAAATAATGGACATATTACCGGGATCCTTATTAATTTTTCTTTTTTTTTTAATAGAATAAGGTTGACAAACAAGCACAGTCCACCTGATGATAAGTGGATGCTGTAGCCCATAGACACCAACATCTATCGCCGTGTTGTCAACCCTGAGGACTAAGATGGAATGTCTTGTTTCCAGTAAAAATGACCTGCGGTTTTCTATACTCATCATACTAAACACAGTAAGTTGTTACTTAATGCTGGTATTCTGTGAGAGTGTAGCCCTTCTCCGGTCGAGGCGATCCATTTGTGCTACATATATAATATAGCTGCAGGGTAGCTGTACCACGTAAAATCTATTAATCTCTATTAGGTGTTCATGGCATGCGTGTTTGGTGGCGACACACTCATGGAATTGCGTCAAGCTTTGCAGTTAGCAGAAACTGAAAGAAAGGGTGGAATGTCCCCTCACATATCGCCTTTCACTCGCATACGAGATATTGGAGGTTTGCTAAATGCGTAAGTAAAATTTTGCTTTAAAATTGCTGGCCGTATACCTTACTTTTTCTCAATTCCCAAGAGTCAGTTATTCTTCATGGGGCAGTGGCGCTTTTAAAACCAAGTCCCAGAAAATATGTAGGATTAATCTATAAAAAGTTAAAAATTTTAATAAAGTAAAACTTGTTCAAAAAGGGTTATAATACTACTAAAATGTACTTTTATTATTTTATAGGATAGGGTGACAAACGAGCACACAGTCCACCTGATGGTAAGTGGTTGCTGTGACCCATAGACATCTACATCTATCCTCAATAAAGAATCAAAATGCAAATGCGTTGTCATCCGTGAGGACTAAGATGGAATGCTTCTTTTTCAGTAAAAAGAGTCTCTGGTTCTCTACACTCACCATAAGAGTTACTCGTACTATATTGAGTTCCCCTATCTATTATGTAAGGGATCGCCAAATAAATATCGTTTTCTTTCTTTCAATAAAACTCTTCAACTGTCCAAACAGAGCTGGTTTCACACTCCAAACAGTGGACGTAGAAGCATTAACAATATGGTACCCTAGCGCGTGGCACTTAATGCGAGACGTGCGTACACTGGGCGAGTCGAACGCCGCGTTGAATCGACCGCTGCATCTCGACCGCGACGTGCAGTTCGCAGCCGCGGCCATTTACGACGAAATGTATGGAAAGGTAAACATTTTTTATTTATTTATTTTGTTTTCAGCCTAAAATACGTAGGATTACTTATAATCGTTTATTATCGTTTCCTTAAGGTGCTAATTAACTTAACAATACTGTTATTTTCTATTGTCATACAGCGAAGAGAGACAGAGACTAAGCATTTCTTTATTTGACGTAATTTTTTATGAGCAAGGCCGATGGTGTTTACAAGTTAAGTTTAGAATTTTTATGCAAGATTTTTTTTTTATATTTACCGGTAAGCGAAGTGTACGGCGGCTCCCAACAAGATGAAATAGCGAACTCAGTTGATGCAGGTGGCTCATGACTGTTTTGTGTTATTCCTTGAGAAGGCTATGTATTATGTTCTGCAATGGATTTGTGATGGGCCGTAAGGATGATGATGATGTTTATACATAACATGTTTGCAGATTTTAACGGTAGTTTCACAGCAAGTGAGTCGTTGATGCTTATATCGCAAGGCGCTGCTAAAACGAACAAAATATCTAGAAGTTTTTATCATAATCTGGGCATTTGTTTAATTGTTTCCATTATTTTTTTTACTTGCATGTATACATACAATGTTACTAATGTTATTTACAAAATCCATACATTAAACCATAATTTGAATGATAAGTCAGGAGTAACAATTTACTTGCGGTCTAATTCCAGCTAAAACCTCACGTGAGCATTGAAGTAAAATACGGCCCTGCATTCGTTGGGTCACACCTACTTCTTGTTACTGAAATAATTTTGGGGTAAAACGGTGTCTTAGTCTAAGTGGACCTACTAATGTGCCCTTGATTTTTTTTAGTAAAAACTTGTGATTTGAAACTCGACGAAACGAAAAAGCGACACTAAAAAGAGACAAACATATACATTTATAGAATTTAGTCTGCGAGAGAATGAGATAGAATACAGTATACAGTGTTTCCTATTATCTCAGCTACCGCGTGTAAACTGCTCTCATGTTTTTTTTTTAATTCTCTTATTTGCTCAACAGGTTTTCCTTTGCCGCCGAGCATGTGGTAAGAGTAAATGAGCATTAAAAATACAGTTAACAATTTCTACGATATTCAGGATGTAAAACAAATAATTTGTATGTAGGCCACACTGAAAATTTTGCACTCCTGACCACACATGAATATTTGAATTTCGAATGTTATTTAAATTTTGTTAATTACAGGACTTTCCGGAGAAAAATTCACGAGGTGTCCCAGCAACGTTTCAAATAATAAACTTCCTCGGTTGGAAACCCGATCCGTCACAGCCGAAACCTCTAGAGAGGGGCACTGGAGAAATATCTCTTAAGGACTTGCACAAAATAGACGAAATAATAAAAGATACCAATAAAGTTAAACTAAGCGAAAAAGATATGAAATAAATTATTTCACTGTTGTCGTTCTATTTGATTTATAAATAAATATATATAAAATAAATAATAAATATATATAATATAAAATAAATAAGATAAAAAAAATATGGCAATATACCCCCCTATGAGCAATGACAATAATAAACGGCCCCCAGTCCCCGGCGGCCCCGCTATTCCTGGTTACGGTGGCGACCATGGTAACGGCGGGACAGGGGGTGCTAAGAATCTCCGGTGGAGATTTGGTTGCCACCTAAGACGACTCGACCTGGCTACATACAACGCACGCACCCTGAGGACTGACGAGAAGATCGTGGAGCTGAAAGAAGAGATAGACAAGTTGCGCTGGAATATTATAGGATTATACGAGGTCCGAAGAGAGGGGGAGGACACGGTAATCCTCGAATCCGGCAACTAGCTCTATCACCGGGAGGGCGACCATCTGTCCCAAGGAGGTGTCGGACTTATCGTCCACAAGTCTCTCGTTAACAACGTTGTAAAGATTGAGAGTGTGTCGACGAGGGTTGCGTATATTATACTCAGAATCACCAAACGGTATTCGCTGAAGGTCGTACAAGTTTATGCACCAACCTCGGCACACCCCTATGAGGAGGTGGAGTTAAAGTATGAGGATATCTCTAGAGCCATACATTCCTCCAAAACCCACTATACGGTGTTAATGGGAGACTTCAACGCAAAAGTAAGCACAACGAGAGCGATGAGAACGGTGAGCTGAAAATGGGGAAATTCGGAATAGGGCAACGGAACCCAAGGGGCCAGCAGCTGGCCGACTTCATGGAGAAAGAGGGACTCTTTATGATGAACTCTTTCTTCAAGAAGCGGCCCCACAAGAAGTGGACCTGGTCGAGCCCCGACGGTTCGACAAAAAATGAGATTGACTTCATTATGACGACCAGACGACACAAATTTTTGTAAAAGCTTTTATATAATGGATTTCCGCAAAGTAACGCCTGATTCTATTAATTACAGACGACAACTGTTCAGTGATGTCTCCGTGTTCGCGAGGGTGAAAACTGGTAGCGATCACCGAATGGTTAGAGGCACACTGAACCTAAACGTTAAGTTGGAGAGGTCTCATCTAATGAAGTCAACGCTCCGTCCCCCTCGTGCTCTGTTCCAAAGTCCCGAAACCTTTCAGTTCGAGTTACAAAACCGTTTTCAGTGCCTAGAAGACTGCAATGAAGTGGACGATATGAATGACAAGCTCGTGGAAACTGTCCATGCGGTCAGAGCTAAGTTCTGCGAGACCCGCCGCAGACGAACACAAAAACTCTCCGATCACACTCTCAATCTCATGGCTGTTAGACGAGAGATGAAGCTACATTCTTCAACAGATTTGACAGCATACAGGCAACTGAATAGACAGATCTCCAAATGCATGCGGCGGGACTTACGCAACTTTAATACCGCTCATATTAAAGAAGCGATCGAGCGGAACCAGGGCTCCAAAGTTTTTGCTAGAGATCTGTCTGCCAGAAAGAGGCAACTGTCAAAGTTGAAGACCGAATGTGGCAGCATCGTTTCCGGGGCACCTGAGATTTTGAATGAGATTGAGAGGTTCTATGGGCAGCTGTACACGTCATCGTTGGAGCCACACGCAAGTGTGAGTAACGATCCAAGAGCGAGTCTTATCCGAAACTATTCTGAAGATATCCCGGACGTCAGTCTGAGCGAGATTGGAGTGGCTCTCCAGCACCTTAAAAACGGCAAGGCCCCAGGCGAGGATGGAATTACAGCGGAGCTTCTGAAAGCGAGTGTAAGACCGGTACCTGAAGTCCTTCAGAAGCTTTTTAATTCCGTCCTCCATGGTGGCGTTACACTGGAGGCGTGGTGCAGAAGTGCGGTAGTCTTGTTCTTCAAGAAAGGTGACAACGCTTTCTTGAAGAACTACAGACCGATTTCCCTTCTGAGTCGCGTCTACGTGCTGTTTTTTAGAGTCATTACGAATCGTCTCGCGCGCAGACTTGACGACTTCCAGCCTCCCGAACAAGCCGGTTTCCGAAAAGGCTTTAGCAACATAGACCACATACCCTTCGGCAAATTGTACAGAAGTCCGAGGAGTACAATTTGCCACTATGTCTGGCGTATGTGGACTATGAGAAAGCCCTTGATTCCGTCGAAATTCGGGCGGTGCTGCAGTCCCTTCAGCGGTGCCAAGTTGACTGTCGGTATATCGAAGTGCTGAAGTGTTTGTACAGTAGAGCTACGATGGCTATCCGAGTACAGAACCAGAGTACGAAACCTATCCAATTGCAGAGAGGTGTAAGACAGGGTGATGTTATATCCCCGAAAGTCTTCACCGCTGCATTGGAAGACGTTTTCAAGCTTCTGGACTGGAAAGGATACGGTATCAACATCAATGGCGAGTACATCACTCACCTTCGATTTGCCGACGATATAGTCATTATGGTAAAATCGCTGGAGGACCTAAGCACCATGCTCAATGACCTCAATAGTGTCTCCCAACGAATAGATCTTATGATGAACCCATGTTCATGCTAAGATGGCAAATGATGATGAATGAGATTAGAATGACAAAACAAAGATCATGTTTAATGTCCATGTCACACATATGCCGGTAGTTGTTGGGAGCACTAAGCTCGAAGTTGTTGACGAGTATGTTTACCTGGGACAAATAGTCCGACTAGGTAAGTCCAACTTCGACCGAGAGGTCAATCGACGGATTTAACTCAGCTGGGCAGCGTTCGAGAAACTACGACACATCTTCTCGTCAGACATACCTCAAAACCTTAAAACGAAATTGTACAACCAGTGCGTGTTGCCAGTGATGACTTACGGATCTGAGACGTGGTCCTTCACTGCTGGCCGTATGAGGAAGCTCAAGGTCGCTCAGCGAGCTATGTAGAGGGCTATGCTCGGGGTTTCTCTGCGTGATAAACTTAGAAATGAGTATATCCGCAGTAGAACCAGAATAACCGACATAGCCCAACGGATTAGTAAGCTGAAGTGGCAGTGGGCCGGCCATATAGCTCGAAGAACCGACCACCGATGGGGAAGAAAGGTTCTTGAGTGGCAGCTTCGTACCGGTAGGCGAAGTGTAGGGCGACCTCCCACGAGATGGAGTGGCGACCTGGTAAGACATGCAGGAAGTCGATGGATGCAGGTGGCTCAGGACCGTGCTTTGTGGCATTCCTTGGAGGCCTATGTTCAGCAGTGGACTTATGAAAGGCTGTAATGATGATGATGATAGATTTCATTAATTATACGAAAAACGGGAATGTGCCTAAGTTTGACCAGTGCGCTCCAATAAATGACCACTTTTGCACCAATAGTTGACCACTGAAAAACTTATCAAGAAAAGGTAGCTAATTGAAAATAAAACACTATTTTGTTACACAAATTGACTTTCATATGATGACTGAAAATTTATCTAGACTTGCAACCAATTTTAACGGCACAGTCGAAGGTAACTTATTAGAAGAGAAACATGAAAATTAGAACATTAACCTTAACAACGATTATTAGCAAACTACAATAGAAAAATAGCTTTGCACATAAATTATCAGTATTACCTATCACAGACTTTGAATTAAATAAATCAGTCTCATCATATTCAGGTAGGCGATTTTGACAAAATCTTATCTAGAAACCGTAAAATTACCAAAAGAACTAGAAAGCTTTATCTTATACTAGCCGTTCTCCGCGATTTCGCCCGCGTGTAATTTTTTGCGCGGAACCCTAAAATAAAAGTAGCGTAAGTTACGCCTTATAACATCAGCTATCTGCCAGTGAAAATCCCATCCAAATCGGTTCACAGGTTTTGCGTGATGTGTGTTCGTGCCAAAATAGCTCGCCGATGACAGATTTTCTTCAGACTTACACATTTATTGTTATATTTTGGCCAATTCACACAATATTTTTATGAATTATAGCTTATGTGTTATTCTAATGTATGAGCTATATTATTGTAGAGTTTCATTAAAATTGATTTGGTAGTTTTTGTGTGAAAGAGTAACAAACATCCATACATCCTCACAAACTTTCACATTTATAATATTATAGTAGGATTCATTGCAAAAATTTGGCCATGTCTTCAACCTTGTAGGCCTCTCTCCTAGACCTCTGGTATTTATAGAAACAGGAGTTTTATAACTCCAATGATGCTGTCACGGTCGTACAATATACCTAATCTTTTTTTTTCAAGCCATTTAAAAATGATCGTAGATAATAAGATCATAGTACTGACTTCAGCGTTACATCCATCAATGTTTCTGATTTTCCCAGGCAAATAGTTGTTTAGGTGCTTGGCTACCTTTGGCTTTTGGTGGTGTCGCTTCAAGATTTTTTTATCTGGAGTCATGTTACAGCTGTATTAGTAGTATAGTTGTAGCACGAATGGGACGAGATATGATATTTGCGACATATATACCGTATTTTAGCGCCTTTATGAATTTCATCGAGATACTTAAGCAAATTTTGCTCTGTATATTTAAAAAATGTCTTTTTGGGTCTATCTTCAATCTAAAACAACGTAATGATTTCTTATATTTACGCGAACACTACACATTTTTAAATAAAACTAATTTTACGGATTTTATCGCGTATATTAACTTATTTTTTTTATATTCCCGACGTTTCGTAACGTAAGTACATACAAAAAGGTCAAAATAGACCCTACAACTAATACACTCAAAACAACTACTGATTTAATAAAGAAATACTCCGAAAAATTAGATCTTGACGTGAATTCGACAATACCATCATGTGCCAAACCACCGAGGTTGTATGGGTTACCGAAAATACACAAACCAAACGCTCCACTACGTCCTATAGTAAGCCAGATCGATTCACCAACTTATAAGTTGGCTCAACACTTGGCAAAAATACTGTCACCACTAAGAGGACATACCAGAGCACACACAAAGGATTCATACCAATTTGTTAGTGAGATTAAAGACCTACATCTCGCTGACAATGAAACTATGGTCAGTTTTGATGTTCAGTCACTATTTACATGCCTACCTATTGAA